AGCTCCATGAATGCTCCTATCTCCGACACTTCTCAAAAAAAACAAATAAGTCTTGCATGCCTTGCGTGGCTATGTTTTTACAAGGCATCGTCCTCGGCGTCGCCACCATCATTGCTAAAGCTCCCTAATATCGATGCATGGACGCCTAGTGTGTCCTGAAATTTTGTTTGGTACATTAAAAATTGTAAAAAAAAGTCGACATTTGTAATGAGCAACAAAAGTGCCATACCGTTTGACAAATAAAAAATACGAATTTTACGCGTACTAGGTGTGATATGAAAAAACTAATAGCAATAAACTATGGTGTATGGCAAGCAGAATATACACGAAAAACAAAGAGCAAACACAAATCCATCATTCACGTTTAATTTGATTCTTATTTCTTAATATTGTTACATAACATTTCAATATGATCTTGATCATCCCTCCACAAAACTCATCTCGTTAGTTTCCAAACCATATCCGAGTCCATCGTTCCATTCACATCAAAATGTGAACATGTCTCAAGTTGTTTGGCACATTTCTGTCACCGTTTTCTGTCATTAAATGGTTTGTTCACCGAATCGTCAAGTTCAACAAGACAACACGGCATTTTTAGCAAACTCTGCGACATCAGCCACGACAAAAGGAATTCGCAGATCCGGCTCTTCGAAGGAGACAGTATTGCCCTTCAAAGAAGGGAAATGTTACTAGAAAGGTTTAAAATCACTCATTGTTGGATTTCTCTCATCACATGACTCAATCTCCATTGTTGATAGGCTACCACAATTCTCTCCTGACCCTGGTCCTGAAGGGAACGCTTTGCCAATTTTCCACCTCCTTTTGTGAATTCCGTTCAGGGTCTTCTGTCATTCCAAACCTTTGAAGTTGGAAAAATACTTAATATCAGTCGATTCAAACAGTCGACATCTTGTTGAAATAATCCCAAGTGTCATTTCCTGCATCCCGAGGGTTTTCCTTCTTCTTTCTTTTTCTACACTATTTCATGAAATGATCTTAGCGTCAGTTCTAGAAATTTGATGGTAATCAAGACAATATCCCAAAATTCAGGAAGTTGTTCAATCCCGCAGTGTGCTTGCTAACAATTTACCTACATTGTGAGAAAAAATATAAAGCCCTCTCTCATGTAAAAGAATCATTTTTACACAACACCAAAACGACCTCACAGCGCTTTCCCTTATCTCACACGACCTGTATTCTCCCTAAACCCAATGAATACAATCTTGCTGGGGGTTTTTTTTTCATCATTCACCTTTATTGCTGCCCTGTGAATGATTGAGTGACGTCTGCCAAGGACACTGACGTCGTCATCATACCCTCCACCAATCACAGTCGCACATGGAATCCCTCTGCTGAGAGCCATTTGTATCACGGCCAGATCACGATCAAATAACCCTGTCACAGAACATCATGTATCTGTCAATTGTACTGTAAGTTGTGACATTCAAAGAAAGACTTAAATTATTGTTCCCAAACACCATTTCGGCTGGAAGCGAGAATACGACCCGTAGTAACATGACAAGAATTTCTCTTTCCTCACCACAAAGGCAAAACAAAAAAATAACGATTTTCCGGCTTTCGACAGTGACTGTGTTGCTGGATTCATTTCAAATTTGCTGAATCTGATCAATCAATTCACAGGTGTCGTATGTTATCAGGAGCTATCTAACGCACGTCGCAGCTGTTATAAATGGTTTTGCTCTGAGCGAGGATACATGTGAAAATATCAAAAAGGGGGCGTTGCTAAAACCCATGACGGTCAAGAATCCGTGACATATGATATTATAGGTATGATATTAAAAAGTTTAGAAATCAAAGAGACACTTCGTTTTGCTCCACCACTGCACATAATGTTGCAGATAGAAAACACACCAAACGTGCATAAAAGTCTTGCCAAACGCAAAACATTTCTAGGCAAAACATTGTAACATTGTCAGGTTGCGCACATGTTGCACTCTTCTGGTCATCCTGTTGCAATATGTTGCAAGATGTTCGATGGTACAACCAGGAGGCCGAAATGTGCTGCACGAAACAATGTTGCAATATATTGCATTAAAATGTTAGTAGCCGGGTTGGTAGTCTGTCCATAGACCCTCTATTTTGTCTTGTCGAGATCGCACTCGAAATATTGACCGCAGGGGACATGAACGAGGCAAAAAGCAACGGGCAGAAAAATACCCACTGTGTACAGACTAAAATGTTGCATGCATTTGGCCAGGTCTTTGGAAGAAAGCGATACTAATTCTGCAACACTGATCGCAACGTGACCCAATTAGTTATAATTTGTTCCTAACTGACCAAAATTTCAATCCCGTCCACACTAACTCACACGACGCCAAAGGAATTTGAAATCGGAAGTTTCACTCTGAAAACGCATCCAATGTTTTCCGTCCACACTACGCCGGAGAAATTTGAAAACGCAACAATCACCGGTCATTTTGGATTTGTGTTTGAGGAAAACTCGGTGAGTGTTGTCACAGGATAATCGTGACGCAATCATTTTCGAAAAGCTCCGTTTTCAAATTCTTTCCATCCACACTAAACGGAAAACCGGCGTTTTTAAATTCGTCCGGTTTGACAAGCGTTTTCGAAGAGCTCCGTTTTCGTGACGGATTAGCGTGGACGGTAGGACTAGCCGTGGAAAAAAAGCTGCGTTTTCGAATTCCTCTGGTGTAGTGTGGATGGGACCTTAAGTAGGTAAAAACGATCTGCACGAGCTTCAAACCACTTACAATCGTTCAATACATTGATCCTTTACCTTGATCTGTTAAACAGAGTTTGCCAAGCGCATCATCTCGATGTGGATCCACTCCAGCGTCATACAAGATGAGATCAGGTCTGAATGAATCAAGAAGCCAAGGCAGATAATCCTGTACTGTATTCAGATACTGCTCGTCATTCAAACCACAGTCCAAACCAACATCTAAATCGCTTTGTTGCTTCCGGAGCGGAAAGTTTTTCTCACAGTGCATGGAGAACGTGAAAACAGAATCATTATCTTTGAAGATGAAGGCGGTCCCATCTCCCTGCAGAAGAAAGACTTGGATCAGGCCACTGAATGTTCCTCAGCTCGACGCCTATCTGGTTTTTGGATGTCTCTGATGCTTAAGTCAGGGGCACCCAATGGATCGTTTCGGTAAATTATCTGTTCAGAAGGCCTTTAATCCCATCTGATTTTCTTAAGAGAATTGTCATCTCAAACTTTCGTGATATGAGAAATTTAATGTCTGTTGTTTTCGGATTGTTGAAAATGTCGTTTTGGGTACCGAAAAAAGGTCAGCTATCATTTTTGGAAAGGCGACAAGACCTAAGGTTTTCGGGAAATGGACAAAAAAGCCCTAATAAATTTGAGAATACTCAAGTTCCCCTAGAATAACCGAGCAGACAATTTTTTTTAGCGCAAACTAAAATTAACCTACAGAACTTTAAAAGTACTCCAGATAGCCTAAAACAGTGTTTAAAAGCACTCAAGAGAAAACGGTCGTTGGGTGCCCCTGTTAAGTAATCAATCGTGTTCTGATTAGCTAAAATACATGTTCCTAAATTAAACAGTGAAATCCCGGCGATTTAAAGAACCCTTGATTTTACGAACCTCACGATAACTCGAGCCAAAAGTCGTTTCTCTTCTCCCAGTCTAACACAGTCTAACACTGTAGTTTTACCCCTGATTTTTCAAACCAATTTTCTTCCTCCCTGGAGGTTAGAAAAATCGGAATTCCACAGCATTCACGTCTTACCCTAGGATAAAGAGAGACTGCTCGCAGTCTATACCACCACCGAAGCATTTCCTAATTTTATTAAGTAGAGCTTGGCTTTGTCTTTGTTTCATTTAATACTTCATTTCATATTTCGTCATTTCTTTCTAATTATAAAAAGAAAAGAAGAGAGAAATTATCCTGAGTATGCAGTCTGAAAATGCAATTGATATTATGCATTGTGTAAAACCTTCTGCCAACTTTTCATCTCCACCCCAGCTGCACATTTGTGAAAAAGCATGACAAATGTGATGATCCCCCCCTCCCCCCCCCATATTGGCCTATAAAGGGAGGCTCCGCCCAAAAGGGGTACCTTTTTGAGGCTTTAGGTATTTAAAAGGGTCAGGATTTCACAAGTTGAGGTATATGAAAGGGCAGGAAAATCTCTCATTTAGTTATTTAAAAGGGCCTTTAATTCATAACTTTCGAACAGAAGCACCTTGTGCCAGTGGCTGCATCATTTAATTAAGCGCTTCATGAAAATGACAACAAGATTTCCTTTCTTGGTGATTTATTCATAATACGAGCTGGTTATGAAAGTATGTGAAAGGGCTACCTTTTTCAATCAAAGGTATATCAAAGGGGTTACTGTACCTTTTATGTCAAAACGGTATACAAAAGGGTAAGGGGATAGACCTTGAGTGGAGCCTTCCCACATAATACTTTGTACCCCTGCCCCCACCAGGCAACAAACAAACTTTGACTACAGCTATACCTGATGAACATCCAGGTCCACAATAAGTACTTTGCTAACTAAGTTGCTATCGATCATGTCCCTGGCAGTGACAGCCAGATCATTCAACATGCAGAATCCTGAGCCATGACTTGGGAAGGCATGATGTGTCCCACCTCCAGTGCTGCAGGCCAGTCCATACTCCATTGCTAGCTTGGCTGCAAGCATAGTGCCACCTTAAATATTTTGATAAAAAAGACCACTATTACCAGGTGTTATGCTGTAAAGTTAGGCCACCAACAAAAAGAATGGCAAATTCTTGATTCACAAGCTAGAGTGTTTAAATACTTATCTCTCTCTATAATATAAAAACAGCCAACAAGACCATTAACTATTGGATATTGACCAAGCTTGAGATCAAGATGGCTAGATGTTGGCCAAGTTCCTTCTTCACATGTTTATGGACTGAAGTGTTGTCAAAGTCCATAATCACATGAAAGAGGAGGGTGGCCAGTATCTGGCTATCTTGCTCAAATAAACTTGGAAGAGGGTTAATTATTTGGCATGGTGGACATCACTTCTTTAGTGAGAAACAGGATGTAATCCTGCACAAGCCAAGTAGCTCAAATTTCCTACTTAGCCAATCTCAACATAGGATTGGATTGATTTTGCCCACTTGTGGAGCTACCCATGTAACAATTGAAAGTAAGCCTGAAAACCATCAGCTAGGGATATTGTGTTATGGACAACTAACTTAAAAAGAAAATATCATTGGCAATCAGTACGACATTAATTATCTCGTTCCCAGAGTTTTTGGATCGCACCAAGAAATAAAGACCTCTGGAGAAATCGGAAAGTGACAGCAGTTACTCTTTCAGACTCTACACATGTTCAGAAACCTTTATTGAACTTGAATTGAACTGAATTGAATTGAATTGAATACATGAGTGCAATCAAACACGAATAAGGATTTTCTGGTTCCGGTTTTTGATTTTGCCTAGACTGTCATTGGTATGGTCATTGCTGACCAAAAATGCATGGTCTCAGGGATGAGATTCTGAGCAAGGGGGGATAATCTTTTCATTCTCTAGTGATTAGGTCTGTAAAAAGAAGAGCTGAGACTTCTCAAAATTGAACTAACCCCATTTAATCTTTATTTCTCAAAACTAATCTTAAAACAAGTACCCACACAAAATCATACCTACTTCAAGGAAACATCTCTTTACAAGTCCTTCAGACCAATGAAATCCAGTTTTTCTCATTGCATGCAAAGGAGCATTTCCATGAATAAAACCATCTATGTAGTTACAATCATGAATTTGTGTCACTGCTTCATAGGGTGCCTCAGTAGGCTGAAAGATTCGTATGGATTCCAACAGGTTGTCTCTAACAATCCAGTCCATGACTTTAATAAACTTTGCCATTTTGAATCTGTGCTTTTCAGGCCACTGACAAGTGAAGCCTTCATGATGTACAACTGGTAACTTGCCAAGACATGGCCAGCTGGCTTAAAAAAAAAAAAAACGTTCACTCAGTATTCTTACAAAAATCTGGAATTATTACTAAGACAAAACTGGTAAGTTGTCAGATAACATTTAAGTTATGCGTCAGAGTAGTATATTGGGAGAAATGGGGTGTGACAATTTGCCAATACTGTCTAGATCAGCCAATCAGCGTTAAGTCCGACCATATGCTCTAGTTGTGTTGTTTATTTTACAACATGGCCATGTAGCAGTGCTTTGTTCTCAGAATAAAGCTCTGTTGAGTTTACTGTTTATCGAGTTTAACGAGATTGATTTACACAGGATGTCCCGGAGCAGGGGGGCGGGGGGGTTGTTGATGTCCTGGAAGAAAAGAGCTGCGGGGATCAGGCAAAGAAATTAATGGCAAAAGGAGAATGGTGGTGGGGAGAGGAGGGTTAAATGAATCAGGAGGAAAGAGTTTGGCAAGCGAACAGTTCACTGACATCTCATCGTGGATTCCTATGTGCAGTGCAAGGGGGCATCACTCTGATTGTAAATATTTTAGCATTTTTTAAACAATAACATCACGACAACAAAAATTCATTGCGTTACGTTGCTTATTTGAAATTTCCCGCTATGAAGACATTGGCATTCTCAATATTGCTGATGACAGGCTTAATAAAGTTTAGCTAAAAGCACAAGCTTATGTAACCCTTCGCGCGATTCCCCCCTGCCATTCAGCTGATCGTGACAAAGATACACCATACCTGACGGAAAACTTCTACGTTCAAAACGGTTGCATGCATTAGAGGTGCCAAATAATGGGCTGATAATTCTTTTAGATTCAAATAAACGCGTAAAAAGACAGGTTGATTTTGCACTCATCCTGCTAGAAGTCATGTTTATGAGCACGCAGTGGTACAGCGGAATTCTTTTAAAATGTAGTGATGTGGAAGTGATGTGGAAGTGATGTGTCAGTTCTTGTGTTACTTCTTTTGTTGTTGGGTCCTCACTTTTGCATCAAACTATACTGCAAGTTTCCGACTTTGCAAAGCATGGGAAACTTATTTTCTTATGTTCTCAATCGTCTTCTCGGCAAGGAAGATGTCAGAATTCTAATGGTCGGTCTGGATAATGCAGGAAAGACGACTATTTTGTATCGATTGAAACTTGAAGAAGTAGTGTCGACAGTTCCCACTCTTGGATTTAACGTGGAAACCGTTACCTACAAGAACATATCCTTCACAGTCTGGGACATCGGTGGACAAGACAAGATAAGAAGTCTTTGGAGAGTTTACTTTCAGGGTACGCAAGGCCTAATATTTGTTGTAGATAGCGCCGACACGGAACGAATCGAAGAAACGAAAACAGAATTGCACAAGCTAATGGGCGAAGAACAGCTAGCCAATGTAGTGCTTCTTGTGTTTGCCAACAAACAGGACATGCCAGATGCCATGAGCACTTCAGAGATTCGCGAAAAGCTTGGTTTAGTAAACATGCGAGAAAGGCCGTGGTTTGTGCAGTCCTCTTGCGCTGTAAAAGGTGAAGGTTTATACGAAGGTTTGGACTGGATGGCATCTCAGATTAGAGCCAGGAAATCCTGGGTTTGAACTGAGCATAACAAGATTCTGCAGACAAAGTAACAGATGGAAATATATATATATGTGGTTCTTATTTATGTGGACAGGAAAGGTACCAAACAACAAGCTGTTGAGGATGGAAGTAATTAAGCTTATTACTATAAATGAAAATAGTTGAACGAAGAAATTAACACTGATCAGGTAATAATAAACTAATATGTACTTGTCTCTGAAACAATGGAACACATTTTTTAACGACTCAGGAAAAACGGCACTTCATCTAAGGTAACAGCCTCTTTGTAAAGTTGTCTTCAAATTTAAGCATTGTCTTCTTTGGTCAGAAAATATTTTGGTTCATAATATCCTTTAAAAATGTGGCTTTTGGGAGCCCTATCCCTCCCCTGGGTGGGTATGGATATTTTCTGACCCCACACATTTGTAAAGACTCAGGTTAGATTCAACATTTTAAAAATTTGATCATATGATGATCATGCAGAGACTGGTTGTGCAGTTATTATTGTTTTACTTGAAGTTGAGTTAGGACATATCATTACATTTTTTGGCTTTATTTCATGAAAGAGAAAGAAGATAGGTGCTTCCTGTTTACACAGCCTAATGAAAATGCCATGCACAAGCGGCACGAAACTATAAAAACCAGCAATTATGCAACAAGCTAGATAAACTGGGTGTATATATCTGTAGTAAAAGAAACTATAGTTTAACTCTAATTCTATAATCATATCGATCTATTTGGACTTGTAGACTTGACTGGTGTTTCTAACAATTTATTTATTTATTTTTATCATTTTTTTTTTCACTGCATTGGCAATAAAAAAAAGGATGTGCCAGGAGCAGCCTGGTATTGCCAGAGTTCGCACTAGTTTTGATAGTTAAGGGTCCTTGGGACCCCCATTTCCAAAGTGTTGGGTTCTTTTTGGCTTAGGGCCGTCTCATTCCACGTCTTTTCTCAGCTTTTCTCCAGTAAATTTGCTTTGGTATGAAGTATTTTGTTTATATGATATAAAGGTTTTCCAGTTGTGTTAACACCACCCTATCTATTGGCTGTATGTCCACGCCATTCTTGCTATAAGTTTCTTAGTGCATAGTCGTATTCATAGTCATTTATAGTCAACTCCATAGTTTTACTATAGTGCGTACGATAACAGCTGCTGCCCGGTAATTCGGATATCATTTTTACAGGTGATGCCCAGTACTAGTCAAGTGAATCGGGTGTCAAGTGACAAACCATTCCACGGTTTTTCTATCCAGCAGACCTGTAAAAGCAATTTTCCTTCATGTCCTGGTTTCCCAAAGTGTCTCAGCTGTCCTAGTTGTCCCCATTGTCCCAAGTTTCCTAACAGTTCTGACTGATCCAACTATTCATACTGCATAAATTATCAATATTGCATTTAAGTCAACAAACCACATGAACAATTTGATATTGTTGATTGCAGTGGCTCTGAGAACATGCTTAAGCTTTCAGTGCTTTAAAATATGAGTTGAGTGAAACAGTCTTCAACAGATAAACTGATATGTTTCCCTGCTTTTCTTAATCAGGTGAGACCACAAACAAGTGTATTTACTACTGTTTGCAAATTTTTCTTCCAGTTTCAGTTGCTTTGTTTTCCAGAGTTCCCTTGCTTGATGTAATGCCTCAAATGAACAATGAAAACACGTATTTTGGGGCTGAATCTCTGGGCCGGTGGACTCTGTGGATGTCTAATGTGTCCCATTATGGCCATAGTGTTTTTTGATATTTTTCCTAATGTTTTTGTTTAATTTTTTCTTATTTTATTGCCTTTATTTTTTTTTTCTTATCTTTTATTACCGATATTTTTTATTTTGTTTTATTTTTTTTATCTTATTTTTTTTCTTTTTTATAAAATAACTTTTTTTGTTTTAATTTATTTTTCTGTTGTTACTTTCTTTCTTTTTATTTTGTTTTATTGTATTTATTTTTTTATTATGAAAAAATAAAAAAATGCAGGAGGCCCATGGTGGCCATAGGCCCAAAGAGGCCACAACCCACTAGGCATTTCCACATTAGATATCCCACAATGCAGTGACAGTAAATTGCACGGTATAAAGCAGATCAGTGTAAGAATTTCAAAAAGAAAGCCATCTTGGGAAAACTTCAAAGAGAATGTTGCAAAAAAATAAGTAGAAATGAGAAAGGGGCAGCAGTAGCAGGAATGGATCGTTATTACTGTCCAAAGGTTGTCCTCCAATCTTGTGGGTAAATAGCAGAAATATTCGCAAATAGGGCCATTGACTAAGGTGCCCCTTGACAAAGAGCAGATCATGGTCTCTTGTGAAAGGCCAACCCTACAGTCGCACATTAACACAATAGGGATGAGTCATAAAATGAAGGATGACCAGGATAAAACTAAGAGACGTTTACTCAGTGAAATCTACATTGCAACTGACTACGAATATTTAAGTAGGTTGAACTCGCAGGAGCAGGTCTCAAGAGAACTCACATGCTGCTAAGTTATACAGCGTCACGCATCACATTATAACAGATCCTAACGAGGGCTTCAAGAACCTGGACCACTTGATCTGGAGTTTAACAAAATTATTATGTTGGTGCACCTAAGCTATACAAGGCTATACAAGGCTATACAAGGGTGTATAACTAACACATCCAAATTGAAAAAGTCTGGCAGACTTTTTCAATTCTATGGTTGTGTCTTGGAAAAATATTACTAGAAATGTATTTCAATTTGCTCTCCATTCAAGAATTCATATCTTTATCTTGGTGTTCTAGGAGCATTTTGTTATGAGCAAAGGTACACCATAATGCTACAAAGTCGTCACAATAAATTTATTGTGTCTAAGTGGCACCACATTGCATGAAAGTCAGGGGCATAGCCAGGATTTTTCAAAGGGAGCTCACACTGTGTCAAAGTGAGGGTACTTACCAGATTGTCATGGTGTTTTTGCTACCTGCTGTAGGTTGTTTGCTTAAAAAAGGCTTACAAAAGGAGGGCTAACGGGCACCCAAGGACCCCCCTAGCTATGCTTTTGAAAGTGATACTTGTCATCAAATTTGTGATGTTTGGTTGGCATGCATTCAACTAGGATCTGTCAGCATACCTTGGATTTCTGGTCCGTAACACTAAGTTCTTGACTTTGCTGACTAAGGGTTTACTTGAAATTTTGCTAATCAGTCACTGAATGTTGTTGACATTTGGTGACAAATAAAGCATGTTTTTACCCACTGCTCTAAATGATAGAATAGTTTTGGATCTATTGTCTGGAGGTTTGGACCCAGCAGGTTTCCATAGTAACAAAGTGAGACCATCATGTATGTATATGATTTTTTTTTATTTCACAAAGAAAAGTACTCTAAATGTAATGTGTTGTAAAGAGCCCTCAACTATGCGAATCACTGATATCAATATCATACTCTTTGTATTCAACTCTAGGCCACATCTTGAACTCATCCCATGGCAAATCTTTTTGCTGACTAAACATTTTTACTGGAAAATCGTCCTTTGTCATTTGTATCACAAGATCTTCAGCTTGAGGATCTAACAAAGCATTTCCCTTCAGTTCCTCAACTACAACTTCAAAGTTTGATATGTCAACAAAATTCGCTGAAACTGCCAAAGAATCTTCTAAGTTTTCTACTCTGTGTGGACAACCATAAGGAACAAAGAGAAGTTCTCCAGGTTCTAAAATGCACCGCCGAGGAGTTGCCCTACTTAAAAGAGGATGTTTATCAAAGTCTGGAGAACTCAGGTCAACATCAAATACGAGGTCTAGTGAATCCTCATAGTGTGGATAAAGTAAGGGTACCTCTTCTTTACTAAAGAAGGTCCACCTGTGACGGAAATGTAACAGTTAATGTTAGAGTCTCTAATAATTCTATTAACCATACATTTATTTTATAAGTTATTAAATACTGAAGAGAGAGAATGTGCTGTTGATGTGCATATTTAATTAAGATGAGCTGCTTATTTTTTCATGCTAAAAAACTTGAAAGTAAGAATTCAGAAACAGACTTCTTGCCTAAGGACTGTGAAGCTTAAAAGCAAGAGCTCTGCACTTTTAGAAGTTTCTTAAATTCCAAAGTTCCTGACGCAAGAAGTTTAATGGACAAGTCAGCTTTGGAACTTAAGAAAACCAGTTTCTCTGTGGTAATGTGTGAATAATGATAAACCCTTTATGCAGATAATTTTACCGAGGACAATGACTAAAATAGGGAAACTAGCTCAAAAGAAAATATCTAATCCTTGATCATTAATCAAACATTTTTCTTTAATTGTCTAAGAGCTTGATATTGCTCAAAAGACATAAATTATGTGAGAGGTGTCTGTCTGAAGAAATTTGCTGAATAGCCCCTTGCAGATGCTCAATTGAGGAAAGACTATTTGATGAGCCAAGGAAGTGTCTGTTTTGGCAGCTATGTTTAAAGCTGTCTGTCATTATGACCTGTCAGTTACACTCGATGATATATATATACCATGCATTACTGACCTTTTCCTGCCTTGAAAGAGTGCCATCCAGAAGTTTGAACCAAATGCATCCACATGAAGATCACTGTGTAAACCTGAAGGTGCAATAAACAGGCTTGGCCAACTATCCTGGTAGAGAGACCCTGGAAAAGTCCTTTGTAAGAAGTCTCCAGCAAAATACTTGGGAATTACCAGTTCCTTGGCCAGGTCTGGAACATGTGTTGGTATACTCCAGTCAAACAGGTAAAGAGGTTCCTGTAATGATTGCAGGGAGTCAATAAAGTCACATATTTTCATGCTACAAGCCGATTCAAGCTTTGCCCATTCTGTGGATTCTTTCACCATCCTTTTGAGGGGTGCAGTCTTGTTACCAACTACCTGTGAAGATAAAAAGAAAACTTGTGATATAAATATTCTGAAAATTTTTTCTCGCAAAAAGAAGAATAGTAAATGACTTGACAACTGTCTCAGCACAACTACATGGTCATTGTCCAGTTCCAGAAAATATCCATGCCCCCTCCCCCTAGTCTCCCATGCAGATGCTCTTTAAGCTCATTGTGCAATCTTTCACGTCTCATAAAGGTCCCTTCCCACACAGAAAAAAGCTGCATGACGACTCCAAGGAACATCTGTAATGGCTACACCCCACCCCACCCTCCACCTCTTGGTAGGCCATTGGAAATTCTGAAGGGGTGAGGGGTCTCAAATGCCAAAATTTTTAAAGAAAAGTATGAAGCTAAACTGGAATTTCCAAAGGGGTATGGAAGGGGGGGGGGGGGGCTTAACCAAAAGTTTCCATTTGGAGATTTGGAGATTTTCTGGAAAAACCCTTTGTGTTCTATAATTCATCATGGCAAGTTATTTCTTAAACTGTTTTATAATAACCCTTTCCATCCAAAACTTGACTGATACTCAATTTTTATCCAAACAAAATAAAGTCAGGCATGAAGACTGCAAGAAATAACTATTTCAAGAAATGCCTAGAGACAAGTGAGCAAATTAATTTTGTCTTCACACTGTTTTATTTTTTTGTGCTCGATCGCTAAGAATGGGCTAACACAGTGTGTTGTATTATTGAGCTAAGAAATTGGATTAATTTTCAAACAACAGTTCTCCTAACTTTTTCCACATGTTTTAATTTAAATTATGGGATAGACAAAAATCAGGAGAAAATCTGCGACCCGGAACCACGTGTTCCGTGTATCGCGTCTCGCCCCGCTAATCCGCCTGTTCTGCAGGCTACACCCGGAAACGAATTACATAACGACGAGCGCGTGTCGAACTCTTGACAGCAGAAGACATGGCAGGTGTGTGGCATGCATTCATTTTTCACTATCTATGCTTCCTTGTACATCTGATTGGAGTAACTTATCATCTCTCGGAGATTAACCTGGAAGCTCACAAGACATATGGAGGAAGATTCAAGTTCCTGACATTCATAAACATGGTGTTACAACTTGTGTATTTCAACATGGCCACCGTCACCGAGCTTCACGAAGTCGTCAGGAAGCGAAAGAGCGAGATCTTCGCGTCTTTGTGCGACTACACGTTCGCCTGTTTTGTCTTTCCGATTGGTACGACTGTCAGTTTGTTATTCTGGGGTCTCTATGCAGCCGATCCGTACTCTTGCCAAACGCCCGAGGAAGCCCAACAAATTCCCTCATGGCTCAATCACTATATGCACACGTTCCCTTTGGTCACGATTTTAGAATTGTGTTTTATTCGACACAAATACCCGTCAAGAAAGAAAGGAGTATTGTCCGTGTTAGGATTCGCAGTTGCTTACACAGCTTGGGTTTTGTGGGTGGCGTTTGCTGCCGATATTTGGGTGTATCCATTCCTGAAGAAGTTGGACTCACTCTTCATTGCTGCCTTCTTCGCTTCAGCTTTTGCAGTTTCATTATTCATTTACTTCGTTGGAGAGTGGGTAGCTGTACGCAAATGGGGACAAGATTCTTCCATGGAAAAGAAAACAGCTTAGCAAGTAACTGACTTTCATGTGACTTGCGCTTTCGTGACAGCATTTAAACGTTCGTGACAGGTAGTTTCTTAATAGGAGTTCCGTGACAAGATAGGGACATGCGTGACAGAGTACAAAAAAATTGTCTGACAGTTGTCTACGTTAAAAAAGTGTTTCAGAATTTTTTGGGAAGATATGTTATTGTTTGCTGTATTAGTGTAGCCAACTACATAATACATGTACCCTATTTTCCCGATTAAATGCCACCCCCCAAATAAATGCTGGGTCTCCCAAGTAGATTTGAAAATAAGACCCTCTAGGAATTTATATTCAAGTTAAATCAAACTTAAGGTATAAATATAAGATATACCTCTCACAAATGATGAATATAAACTCTAATTAACTAATCCAGACTCAAGTAAATTGCAAAAGTAATTTGAAAAGAAAATGTCAGGAGCATTACATCAAGAAAACAGGATACCATTATTTTATTGCCAACCGAAACGCTGACGCTTAAATAAAGTCAATATTATTAGTAATAGCAATTGGACTGAGTGGAGCACAATTCTAGAAATTTCAAAATCGGACTAGCCTCTTCTAAGTTCAAATCCAAGATGGCACTTGCTTGGTCAAAATGTGCGCAATTGCTCGCCAAAATACGCCTGCATTGCAGGCTAAAATCGGACAAGTGCACAGTGCAAGGCTGATTTTAAATTACAAGCAAACTTTCTCCCTGAATTGTACAACATGAGGTCCAATTACTAATTAACCGTATCAATAACAAATTTCAAGATTGAAAAAGTCTTTTAAAGAAGCTCAGTCACAGTTTGCGCATATTGAAAAGTTTAGCCTCAATTTTTCAAATTTGTCATTTGTAATCAGTGTTAATCTTCTCCATCCTTAGCCATCCTTGTTTCTTTATGGGTTATCATTATGTCTTTGGTGTTTTTCTATCTTATTAAACTGTTATTTTCAGGTTTCCTACCATTTAAAGGTAATTTTGTATGTGGCCAAAATACAGTGAAACCTCTGTAAAGGGGACACCCTTGAGACCTTCCCAATTGTCCGCTTGAAAGAGGATGTCCGCTTAATAAAGGTTTATAACAATTGCACAGTTTGTTAACAATTAACATTCAACGGTTCCCATGTACTGTAGTAAAGTTCCAGGTTGTTAACGAAGCTATCCAGAGTTCAACTTCATCAGCTTTCATCACCAACTTTAATTTGTTTGTAATAATGCCCTTTCTATACAGCAACGATAATACGGGTACAGTTAATCAACTATTTCAAGGACGTCATCCAATGCCACATTGTCAATTCAGTCCGGTGTACGCTTAATAGAGGTTTTTAACAATAGAAATTAGCCAAATACGATTTATTAGATAGAGTCCGCGTCCTCTTAATAGAGGTGTGCGCTGAACAGAGGTTCATTATAAAGGGAAATATAACACGTTAATTTCGGGACTAGGCTAAGTGTCCATTTAATAGAGGGTGTCTGCTTAATTGGGGGTCCGCTTAATACAGGTTTCACTGTGACTCAAAATACCGTGACTGAGCTCCTTTAAGAACTTCTTTTGAGTGAAAAAGTCAGTGGTGTTTCCCATAAGCTGTAAAAACTGTAGGGAACAAGGAAGGAAGCCAATGAAGGTCACGTAATTGAAGTGCAAAATGGCTACTGTATCCAATTATTACAAAAAGTCGAAACCAGTGTAACTGGACACCCACACGATTGTGAACTCATTACATGACAAATAGGCATGTGGAGAACCAATCATGATCCAGAATTTTGTCATAGATATGATTATTATTGAAATAGTTGTCATTTCCTCATTGTTGAAGTTAGTTGCAATCTGTTTTAACAAGGCCTGTTGGATTTTTATTTCAGCTAACACATAGTGGTTTACTTCTAAAGGGGAGTCTAAGTTGCTTAATTTCAAATCACGAAAGTGCACTCCACTTTATTGTGTTGTAGAAACAAATTCTTCCAATACAAACAAATACATGGACAGTGAATGGTTTTTCACCTCTTTGATGTGTTGAAAGTTCCACGGAACAGAAGTCAAGGTCTTGACAATCCCTGTGATGATAACAGGGGTACCAGTCATGCAATAATCAAACAGAAACTCTCTTGCACAAAGGGTACTACAGTGGCGCCGCTCTACCTGAAAGGTAAGTCACTAACATAAACATCGGCAGTCATGGAAGGTTGGCTGGCTTAAAGGGTAATGCCTCTGACACCCTTGCTGTCGAACAGTACTACTACAGCCTTCACTTGATCTGTAAAAAGCTGCTCACTTATTTTAATATTCCTCCATTTCCAATCATTCCACCCTTGTTCAATGGTTATATCCTGAGGGGTCCTGCGTATATTGGTCTATACAAGTAGACTCCACCCGAAAGAGGTACCTTTATCAAGCTTCAGGTAAATAAAAAAGGTAGGAATTTCATTTCTCAACTGGGAACACTTACAGCTATACATGTGGTGAAGTAGTGCAATACTGTTGTTTATTTTGGTGGGCCAGCCAATGGACAAAAAATACTTGTTGAGAAATGCATATTTATTATTATGAAAGTCATGGCAAAAAACCTTACCTCAACTGGTTGTGCCATCTTGTGCTCAAAAGATGGAGACTGCACAAGATGGTCAAGAAGGGAATTTCTTTTTTCCTCAAGCTCTTTGCGTCGCTGTACTTTTAAATGTAGCCAGGCTATATTCTTATCTTGCGGATCCAGCTTGGCAGCAATGTTTAGATTGTTTAAAGCAGATGAGGTATCTTGTAACAGGTCCTGATAAGAAGCTAATGCAGCACGGAGGACAGCATTTCCACGATGTGAAGCCACCTTTTCTTTTAAGGCATAAATCTGCTGCTTCAAGTATGCTTTTCCTTCTGGAAGGCTGTTGAAAAAATAATTTTTGAAGTGGATTGAAGAAATATCTTAAAATTAATCAACATCAACAATCTCTGTAGCATTACAGTTTTGTGGCCAATATCAATCCTGAAAATATGTTTGGTGTTATTTTGTTGATCTAACATTTTCTTTACAGATCTGGAAAAGTAGGGCCAAATGATTTGGTCTGCTTGGCCCAATGGTGCAAAGTAATAATAATAATAATAATAA